GAGTATTACAAATGCCGATGAGACATGGATTTAGAAGTTTGACTTGCACATAACCTGTCTCTTATACACATCTAGATGTGTATTTTAAACATATTTTATACTTTAAAAAATTTTGTATAACTAATATTTTATTTTTATTTTCTTATTAATGTCAACCCGTAATTTTTATTTAAATTGCATTAATTTATAATTTTTGTCAATATTATACACTTTTTATTTCACGAGCAGTCGTCGAGGGTTCTCATATTTCAAGCACAAATATTCCAGAATTTTTTCAAACAAAAAATGCATACGTCTATATTACTGATGAATTTTCTTTTATTTAGAATATAATTTAGTTTTATTTTTAGCGTTGCTAATCTTTCCTTTAAGTACGCTCGAATAAAAAAAAAATATTTCACCATAAAATCGAATAATTTTGCACCTACTTAAAAAATGTTTCAAATAAAATAATTTTCTATAAAGTAATTTCCGAATGTTTCGGTTTTTAGCGGTTCGGCCGGCCGCCCGATTATCACGTTATGAGTCGCGTTGTCCAACTGCCAAGGCATAGCGGCTAGCGGCCGTGCGTTGCTCGCAGCGCCAACGAATGCGGTAAAATTTGTTTTTGTTTTCTTAGGTAATGATGGCAGGGAGTGCGTCGGGGTGCTGACGAATGCGTTGCTATTTCGAAATCCGCCGCATAGCCGTCATTAAACGGACGGTATCGGCCCACACGAATTTGCTTCGCGCTGTCAATAGCGCCCGCTATACGGCTGGATTCGGCAGCTCAGTTCGTTTTCGCTTTGTTGTCGTTATTGTCGCATACACTTTGCGATCCCAGGCGCACAAGATCGGCACTCACTTACAACCATTTATTATACTTAGCACTGTCTTATTTTTGTTATTTAAATATTTTCGAAATTTATTTTCTCCATTTCGTGCGCCTTTTTGTATGTAAAAGCGCTTGTGTATAGTATTTTATATTTTCTTTAGTATTTGTAGGTATGTGGCAGTTCGAAATTACGTAAAAAAGTAAAAAATGTCTCCACGCACGTCGCCACAGTTTCCATTAACGCGATCTATAGCTATTGCTTGCACTGTTCTTACATTTTAATTTTGAAAATGCTTGCGGTACACAGCACATATTTCAATATTCGCTTTTATTATCTGATTCTGGATATAAAGGGTGTCGTTTGCGGTGTGTTCGACACTAAAATGGTATAAGTTGAACATGTGATTTGAGCTGAAGCTGTGATCGGTGTGATCTTCATCGATCAAATTTCGTAGTATTTTCGATAGTACGGACCAGTTAAGGGTGACAAAACCAGTAACAGAAACAAATTGCAACTTTTTAGAGATTTTTGAGTTTTTCTCCCATTCTACATATGTGTATGCAAATCATTAGATTTTAATACTTTGATACTTTGATCTAAAAAAGTCAGTAGAGGGTGCTCTTTTGGTGATTGATAGTAAGACAGAGCTCTTGGAGGCCACCTACAAAGATTCCTCGCATCTTGGGAGTTACTGGTGGCAACTGTAAACTTAAGTTAGGACTTTTTGTATCTGGGAATCAATAAGCTTCGTGATAAGAATACTTAAGCCTCGTGATCAAGCGCAGTATAACTCTTGCCAGCAGGTGCTACTTTGGGAGCGGTAGGCAATTGAACAGCAGATATCTCTCTTTTTTGACGAAATTTAAGACGACAAATTGCACTACATAAGTATCTCATCATTCCCTTTATATTAAATAGTGAAAAATCATGGCCAATTAAGAATTGAAAAAGTAGTTAGAGCTTTCGAGAGAACTGAAGAAGAAGATCTCTCTCCACTTTCTCTCTCTTGAAAAACAAATATTGCACAAGTCTCTCATCTTTGCCGTCCTAGTATGCGGCGCAGAAATATGAGCCATGGCGACCCGAAATAAGAACGTATTTAAAGCATTCGAGGGAAATGTTCTTCTCAAGATCTTTGGAGTCAGCCGTGTGAGTAATGAATGTCGAAGAATATAGAACTGCACGAGCTCTACGGCAACATGGTTATAGCCAAGTGCTTGAAAATCCAATTAATGGGCTGGTTAGTCCATGTCGTTCGCATGGAAGTTGATGCTCCAGCGAAATACTCTTTTCTAGCTTTAGTACAAGCCAATTTGAAAACTATACCAGGAAATTGGTGTGTGTCTTAGCTAAGAAACCATGTAGCGGTAGATATACTGCTCCGACGACCATCTTTAGAGACGTAAGAATTCACTCCGATTGACTTCATTAGCAATAGTATTAAGAGTAGGTACACAGGTATTACGACAAAATATTTTGACTAAATATTTTGCCTAAATTGTGAGGGGGAAGGGTGAGGTGAAATCATTTTCTCATTTTATTCTCTATTGTCCGTCTTTGGTCAGACTGGAAAGGAAATATGCATCTCGGAAGTCACATCCCACAATACTCTAACAAAGTGGTTGGGTTTTGATTTTGACTGGATCAATAAATTCGTGGCGAGTTCAGAATGCTTCGGCGATCTATAAGATGATTTTGGGTAAAACAAAGGAAAAATATCTGTACAAGAGAGATCCATCGTTTTGAGATCAACGCTATGATAGCGGCATTCATAGATCTATGAAGGAAGTATTTGGAAATTTTAACAAGAATACCAGAAAAATGCATGTATGCAGAAGACCTTTCATTGAGTTATTTCAAATTATTGAAAAATAATTCTCTTTTAAATTTTCCTTCCAATGAATATTTGACGAAATCGAAGATCACTCTTTGTAGGAGATTATCATCAGCAAATAAGTTCCACCTTCTTGAAAAATATTCTTTAGTTTTGTCACACTTATTTTGCGCTTATATCGTTATGTCGGCATTATCAAATCTACCAGCATAGACAATCGAAATACTGACTAGTCTTTCATACATATACAAACATTTTTGTATGTATGTATAGTATGAAGAAGTCACATTTGTGTTTACTTGACTTATTTTTCACAAAAGTCATTTGAATATTTGATTTCGAAAATAGAAAGAGGTGACGCGAAATAATTGTTGGACTTAATTGACAGTTATGAGTTAAAAAAATATTCCTTATATCTGATGCCTGCTGATCGCAATTAAATGCACGAATTATTTGTGAAACAGTGTTCTTTGAGTGAAATGAAACACATAATCGTAATATGCAGTACTCTAAACTGATGGATTGTTGCATTCCAATGGATGTCCGAAAATAAATTTGGCGTTGGACTGCATACTCAGAGTCTCTCTTTGTGATTTGTTTATTTAACGCTTGACGGTTGGACATTTAAATAAATTAGCACATCATTTGCTTACATATTTTGAAATGAGATTTTAAGTGCAGTTGCTATTAATAAACTTCCTGCACAAATATTGTTTTTCCGCGACGTTGCTGTGCTTAAGGTAGTAGTCTGGTTACTTACGCCTATTTTCATGACTTCTTTGGAGGGTGGTTCTTTAAAGGAAAATAAAAATGAATTATCTTGAATATTTGGAGTGTTTTTATTTACATATCGAAAATATAAAAAAAAAATTATTTGAAAAAATTTAATACTTTATACTATTACTATTGTCACTCGAGGTTGGAACCGCAAAAAAAAAAAAAAAAAAAAAAAAATGCACGTGGGTGGCCCGGGTGATTTTGGCTCTTGATGTTATCTGAAATCAAAAATTCTTGATTATTCTTAATCTATAGACATATCATTCTGGTCGGAACTACGTTAAATTTCAAGGGCAAATAACAAAATGGCGGACTTTGAAAAAAAGTCCTTTTATTTTAGCAAAGAAAGGGTTGTAAAATAAAAATTTGGGGATGAAAAAAAGTCTCAATAAGATCTATGAGTGCATAGAACAGCCTGCTATAATTTGAAAGTAATCGGTTCCAGTTAGGATCCGGGCCGACAATGTTTTGAGAAAAACGCGTTTAAAGTTCWACAACGCCGAGAGAGAGAACACCGAGGCGCTCTCGGAAACTCGTTATAACTCCCGAATTATTTCGAATCTCGGTCTGAAATTTTCACAGTATATTCTCAAAATATTCTACTTTCAAACTAAGTAAAAGATAAGTTTTTTTTAGATTTTTTGAATCCAAGTTACCAGACCTAGTACCTTAAGAGGAGGGGACTGTTTGGTAAAAAAAGTTGCTAATTTTTCTGCAATTATTTGTAAGCATACGTACTGCTCTAACTACTGAAACTTAGGTGATACATCGTAGAAATAAGTTTTTGTAAGAGTGTGTTGTAAAGAGCTTACTATTATTTACACTAGACTGCTTTGGACTATCAGTGAAATCACTTAACGATAGATACCGAAAATTAGTTGTTTCGACGATATCGTATCATAGGGAGAGGGCTGTTAAGTGAGTGGTTGGGATTAATTGTTTTTATTTTCCATGCGGTATTTGGGAATACAAATGTTAAATCTGGTTTTTGGAATAATATTTTTCACTGCCGTATTCGAAGTTAATATTTTTTCAATCCGATTTGTATTTAAAAATTAAAAATTTTTTTATAATTAAAATTAAAAAAAAAAAGCTTATAATAATTAAAATTTTCCCACTATTATTTTTTTAATGCATTATTTGCTTCTCTGTAACCCACGCACTTACATCAAACATATACATCTTGCATATTAATGTACACATTTCAAATTTCGTAACCATAATGGCTACCCCATAAATAGTCCCTTAAACTAAAGGAGCAACAGCAAAATAAACCCATTTACATGAACCATTTGCTCTCAACCGCTCAACCGCCGGCAGCGCAAAGTTGTTTACGGTTTTATTTATGTTGTACTTTGTACTGGTGAATTCCAACACTTTTGGGTAAATCCTTAAAAATGTGTGCAAATTGCCACATGTGAATAAAGGTCATGAGCTCTACAAACTATTAAGATATGTGAGAATAATAATGTGAAATTTTAATGCCCTCTTGGTCTAGCAAGTTTTTATACTCTCACGCAACATGTTGCTACAGAGTGTAATAGTTTTTTCAACTAAGGCGTGGTATATATGTGAAAGGTTAAAGTAATAAGCTCAGACCTTTTCCTCCCCCCAGAAGACGTTATATAGTGATTTTGAACTTTCCACCTACCTTTAATCCATTTATGTTGGTCAAAGTTTGTGATTTCGAGAGTAAAAAATGTTTGCTTATACCCGAACTTAACTGTTCCTTACATTTTTGAAGTGAACTGTAGCCCTAGATATGCTTGTATGGTATATTATTTCGTTATTAAGCGCACCCTAGAGTTTATGGGTAAGCTTTAGCGTTCACCCCTTTCGCACTTGGCAACAAATATTTTAGAACGCTGCTTAGACGTTTAAATTTGGTATACATATTTTTGAATTTAGTCGCTTTAGAAAATTTAAAACCATATTAATGAATTGAAGTCCTTGAAGAAGAAATGCAGTGAGCTTTTTCACGGATGGATTGAAGTTAAGAGGATTGGTATGATATGGAGTCTTTGCCGGGAGCTCTGCATCAACTCTAATTTCATCCACCAGACTGTAGCGTCTTTCAGGCGGAGTACGCTGCTATACAGGTATGTAGTTGAAAAAGTACTGCTTAGA